AGGGCCTGTTCACACGACGTCCGTTTTGTGTGCTGACCGGCTCCGTACGCTGCTGCACTCAAAATGCATCCCAATGTATCCCTATGTGTTTTATGGGCTCCAGTTCTCACGTGCGCAGTCCGTTCAGCTTACGACAGAAAAAATACTGCATGTCACATTTTGTCAGGTCCGGATACGCAAACGCGTCAAAAACGCATCAAAAACACAACACTGCAGCTACCATACTAACAGCCCCACTCCAGTAAAAAAATAATTTTTTTTTTTTTTTTTTTGCTGGAACACATCAAAAACGCGGCCAAAAACTCACTGCATCAGCAGCTCCACGTCTGCTGATCAGGACCTGATCTGATGTGAACAGGCCCTAAGGCACTGTAGCGCAGTGCGTTTTTGACGTTCACATGAGATCAGGTCCATGCGTTTTTGATGCGTTCCAGCAAAATATATATATTTTTTTGCTGGAGTGGGGCTGTTAGTATGTTAGCTGCAGCGCAGTGCGTTTTTGACGTGCAGTATTTTGTGACATGCAGTATTTTTTCTGTCGTAAGCTGAACGGACTGCGCACGTGAGAACTGGAGCCCATAAAACACATAGGGATACATTGGGATGCATTTTGAGTGCAGCAGCGTACGGAGCCGGTCAGCACAGAAAACGGACGTCGTGTGAACAAGCCCAAGGTTTTCTGATCGTTCCAACAACAATCAGAAAACTGAAAAATTATTTCAGGAATAGATACTTGGAGGGGAATTTATTAAAACTGGAGGAGACCAGATCTGGAGCAGCTGTGCATGGCAACCAATCAGCTTCTCTCTTTCATTTTCAAATCTTAACTGAACATAGTTACATAGTTACATAGTATTTGAGGTTGAATAAAGACATTAGTCCATCAAGTCCAACCTATTAGGATCTCATTCTAGGAGTACCCGTACCCCTGTATATTACGGTCCCTTAAGAAATCGTCCAAAAGTTTCCTGAACAATTCCACATTATTTGCTGAAATCACCGCCTGTGGCAGTGAGTTCCAGACCCTAACTGATCTTACTGTGAAGAACCCCCTTCGCACCTTGTGCTGGAATTTTTTTTCCACCAATTTTAGGTGGTGGCCTCTAGTTTTTGTAACGGAGTTAATTTTAAACAGTTTATCGCTAATGTTGCTACCACCATTGAACAT